GGAAACATTGAAATGGAATTCGTGACATATTTAGTATAGCGTGCATGTTGCTATTATGTGCAACAGATGGCGCTGTTTTTCAAAAACGCATGTTTTTACCTGTCACAGGGGTGGCATCTATATAGTAGGTATATAAAAAGATGCGCCTATTCGAATGCAACGTTGTGTCAAAATTTCAAAGCAATCGGTGAAGAACTTTCGGAGATTACAGCATGTGTTGCTCTTACGTCCAACAGATGGCGCTGTTTTTTAAAAAAAAGCATGTTTTTTCCTGTCACAGGTGAGGCATGTATATAGTAGATATATAAAAAGACGCGCCTATTCGAATGCAACGTTGTGTCAAAATTTCAAAGCAATCGGTAAAGAGGTTTTGAAGATTTCCCTCACATGAAAAACACAGTTTTCAGAAAAAAAAAAGCATGATATCTTTTTTTTACCGTCACAGATGTAATATCTATATATTATGTATATAAAAACCTGCTCGGATGTGAATGGAAAGTTGTGTGAAAATTTCAAAGCAATCGGTGAATTACTTTCGGAGATTAGCGGTTATGCACAAACGAACATTTCCATTTTTATTTATATCCTCCCCACCATTCTCTTCTTCCCTCCCCTCTTCCCTCGGCCATTACCACCCTCCCACGTCCCCTTGTCTGATGCATTCCCAAATGATCTGATGTTCCCAGCAGAAAATTGGGAACATCAAGTGATCTAATGTTCCCATCACTGAAATATAAGAAAAACAATTGAAAACAAAATGAAAAAAAACGAAAAATATAAAAATAAACTATACTCATGAAATGAACGGTATGGTAAACAACACAGCTCAATTCCAACGCAATGTCATGCAAAATAATTAAATCAAAATGAAAATAAATCGAAATCTATGAAAATTCTATTTGTCACTGCAATTGGAAACATATTGAAATGGAATCGAAACATAGTTAGTATATCGTGTGTTGCTCCGATGTGCAACAGATGGCGCTGTTTCTTAAAAAAAATTTTTTACCTGTTACACATGTGGCATCTATTCTTATACTTATGAAATGAACGGTATAGCACAACTCAATTCTAATGCAATGTCACAAAATAGTTAAATCAAAATGAAAATATATCGAAATCTAAAAAGTCTCTAAAACCGTTGGTATACTCTCTAAAATAAGATATTATGTTCCTAACTCTGCTCTCCTCTCACTATATTATGCACTAATCTACTCCTATCTTAATTAAGGTATCTGTGCATGGGGGTCTACCACTGCAAACCACCTTAAGCCCATCATCACACAGCAAAAATCTGCTATCAGAATAATAACAGACTCTGCTTTCAGACAACACTCAGCCCCCTTGTTTAACTCCCTAAACTTGCTAAATATTAACTCCCTCCACACATTCTCTTGTGTCAACTACATTTACAAAACCTTGTTCTTAAATGCAAACCATGCTCTGAAACTCTCCCTGGACAGATGTAATAGGACCCATTATCACCACACCAGAAATAAATATCTCTTTGATATCCCTAGGGTCAAACTTAATCTGTGTAAATACTCTATGCAAATTTAGGAACCTAGTCTATGGAACTCACTCCCTAGTGAATTGAAAAGCTGTCAAACTTTTGCCTCATTTAAAAACAAAACCAAAAAGTACCTAATTTCATCTTCGTAGTTTCCTACACTGAGCTTTAAATTTGCTCTGTATCTAGTGTTATCCAATCTCCCAATCTTTATGTACTTAACCCAAACAACTTTATTATTGTGTTCATTGTTGTCTTCTTTTATGTGCTAGCCATATGCTGTATTGTGCCTACTAATTTTTGTTAAACTACCATCCAAGCTGTCATAGCAATCAATCTGAGCTACCTATGTGCTTTAATATACCTACAATTTTCTCTCATCTTTATTTTTTTTTCTTGCTTTGTAACTGTTATAATTTTTTATACATTTTACAAGTATTTACCTACTTAAAATTTTCTTAGATTAAGGTCCTGCCCGAAACGCTACGCGTACTAGTGGCTTTACAAGATTGTAATTACTACACTATGTATCCTCACACTCCCAATGTACCTTCTTGTATATAAATAAATAAATAAGTAAATAAATAAATAATGCAAAGAAATAAAATATATGTGTACAACACAACTCGTGTTGTTAATAATCTACCCTATATGGTCTGCACAATGATTAAATACTTGCTAGGCTGAACAATATTTAGTCCAACACTAGACAAATGTGATAGCCAACCCTTACACCGGTTAGCATAATTAATTAGATTAGATTAGGTTCATCATTATTCAGTTCAGCACTAGCCTAGTATTGTCCTACACTCCCCCCTCCCCACCCAAATAAGAGTTGGCAATTAATTAAATGGTACAATATTGTGCAGTAAACAGAATGGTGTAATATTTTATTTGGTTTTATTTTATATGTTAAATGTTTCTCTCTGAGCTTAAGAGAAATATATACACATTTATGGGTAGTAGCCTCTCAACTTCTTGTATTTAATGGTATTATATCTTAAGTAATGAGACTAACCAATAGCCGTAGTTAATATTGTGTTAGCAGCAGTCGTTTCAATCACTGTTAATACTTTGGGTATACTGCTGAGTGAGGTTGACTGAGTTAGGCTATATATAGCATGTATATATAGTTATAGTTATATATAGCAGTTTACTTTTGCTGCTATATATTTAATAGTTATATATACTAATTGTTCATTTATGGATCACAAAGATCCCAGTTCGAAGAACCAAAACATTGGGTTCTAAGAACCAGTGTGTGTTTAGATCTGCTGAACGTGTAAATTCTGGTTCATCCAGTCCGTTGAGGACCATAAACATATGTGAAACGAACCTGTTCTTAAGAATAGTCTAATTTCTGCACTATCCAGTTCGAAGGACCATAAACATGTGGGGAATTTTCCTAGCAGGAATATATATTTAATCAACTTACGTTAATTGATGATTATTAATTGAGAATGGACTGCATATTTAAATGTGGACTGTACTTAAAGGTTATCCTGTTAAGTGTTGTCATACTTACATGTTTGGGGGGTGGGGGTATATATACATAGCCTATCACATCAATAACTGGGTAATGGTAATAAACTACTAAATGTTAATTCTACTGTTAAATGGGTTAGTAAAATGCAATCATTTCTTTATAAAGAAATGATTGCATTTTACTAACCCATTTAACAGTAGAATGACCATGTAGACCATGTAGAATGAATCAGACCATGTAGAATGAATCTACATGGTCTGATAATATGCACTGGGCATCCTTCAGTCACGTGTCGGACCGCATTGAGTAGGCCCGAATGTTAACAGTTAACCGAGTAACTTATCAGTAGTAAACTGCTACCACGATACATAGCATATATTCAGAGAGAAATTCTATAATTGAGATGAGGCTTACCCGTTGTTTCTCGTATGTCTCATAACCGAACTACAAAATACTCAACGACTCTGCTGTGGACGCAACCATCAACATAGTTCAGAATTTGTCAGTATCGATTTAAGAAAGGAGACTTTAGATTTGTTTGTTATTTAATTAAATCCAGTTCTAAAGAGTACTTTATCATTTTTAACCTTTAGACGAGGTTCTATGTTTTCATAAGAGAAATATTGTGCGTAAATAGCGTATTTGCTTACGTGGCAACATCCAATTTTCTCGGAGAAGCCACTAAACATAGTTCCTTTAATGGTTCTCTTATGATTATAAGTGAGTTAGTAAGATTAGTATGTTCCTAAAATAACCGTTTTGGCTTGGTATGTTAGGGTTAGTAATTTCAAAATTCAAAATTCAAAATTCAAATTTTTATTCGGGTAAAAGTACATACATGAGTTGTACATGAGATGATGAGTTCCAAACATAATGTTGGATTTATTGATAGAGTTAGTACATACAATACCTAAAGCCACTAATACACATAGCGTTTCGTATGTTCCTAATACATTAGCATTTGCTTTGTGTGTCTGGGTTAAATATTGTGTATCGAAAAATTTCCGACAAGCAAACAGGTGCTATATGTACTATCAGTTCAGGAGGAAGACATGCTGGAGCTTAACACATCTCAGCCTCCAGCAGCATTATTGTACCAACATCAAGTGTATTCCTTCTGAACCCTAGTCTTAGTTAAAAGGTGCAGGGGATACAGAGACAGAGATCACATGACCACATGAAGGCTCTGGCACACAGTTGGTTTCAGGTTCATCCTGTTCTTTATATGATTGTTACCTAATGTTGTTAATAAATAAAGTTTATTCCTATTGATGCATAGAATAGGCTCATGGAAATAAATGGGTCTCTAGAAGTAGGTTTCAACTGACCTGAGGTAGGATAACAGCTCTTGCTTACAGTTTCACCAGATTCCTTATATGATAGTTCTCTTTGTGATGGGTTTCAAAGTACATTCTCATGAAATAAATGAATCTCTAGGGGCAGGCTTCAGATGAGCTGAGTTAGAATAACAGCTTTTGCTTGCAGCTTCACTAGATACGTCAATTAACAGCCCTTATGAACACTAGTCTTAGTTATAAAAATAAGAGAGAGACAGAGAGAATTGTTGACGGATGAAGAGTATATGAAGGATATCACTTTACAGGCAACCCATTATCATGATTTGCGCCAACATACAATATACAAAGAACTATCCCAGCAAGACAAACGAACCCAAGAAACTCGCCTAACCTAACCTACCGATGTATAGAAAACGTGGATATTTGTGAGCCGCTCCTATTCATAGTAATTTGTAATTCGTATGTTTGGGACCATACAAATTCCCACAAAATGAGACATATTAGTTGAGAGTGCGAGTTGCTTCAATACCATCAGTATATTCTGATTTCCAACTAATACATGCTAACACGCTGAAGAAATATGTGGTGTTAGTTTAAACTGAAGACTCACTGGGTGCATTAAAATGACCACCTTGGCACCACGGCCTCCTACAACCACTGAACCTCAAGAAACATTCCCTGCACTTATACTAGCAGCCAACCCTTGTCAGCGAGACAGCTGCTGGTGGGAGTGGACGTGAGCGGCCTCACCAGCATCCCCGGCCTCCACCAACACAACCACATTATCAGTAACACGGCCAGTTGATGCATCACCAACCTCAGCACGGCCAGTTGATGCATCACCAACCTCAGCACGGTCAGGTGATGCATCACCAGCCTCAGCACGGCCAGTTGATGCATCACCAACCTCAGCACGGTCAGGTGATGCATCACCAGCCTCAGCACGGCCAGTTGATGCATCACCAACCTCAGCACGGTCAGGTGATGCATCACCAGCCTCAGCACGGCCAGTTGATGCATCACCAACCTCAGCACGGTCAGTTGATGCATCACCAGCCTCAGCACGGCCAGTTGATACATCACCAGCCTCAGCACGGCCAGTTGATGCATCACCAGCCTCAGCACGGCCAGTTGATGCATCACCAACCTCAACACGGCCAGTTGATGCATCACCAGCCTCAGCACGGTCAGTTGATGCATCACCAGCCTCAGCACGGCCAGTTGATGCATCACCAGCCTCAGCACGGCCAGTTGATGCATCACCAACCTCAGCACGGCCAGTTGATGCATCACCAACCTCAACACGGCCAGTTGATGCATCACCAGCCTCAGCACGGTCAGTTGATGCATCACCAGCCTCAGCACGGCCAGTTGATGCATCACCAACCTCAGCACGGCCAGTTGATGCATCACCAGCCTCAGCACGGCCAGTTGATGCATCACCAGCCTCAGCACGGCCAGTTGATGCATCACCAGCCTCAGCACGGCCAGTTGATGCATCACTAGCCTCAGCACGGCCAGTTGATGCATCACCAGCCTCAGCACGGCCAGTTGATGCATCACCAACCTCAGCACGGCCAGTTGATGCATCACCAACCTCAGCACGGCCAGTTGATGCATCACTAGCCTCAGCACGGCCAGTTGATGCATCACCAACCTCAGCACGGTCAGTTGATGCATCACCAACCTCAGCACGGCCAGTTGATGCATCACCAGCCTCAGCACGGCCAGTTGATGCATCACCAACCTCAGCACGGCCAGTTGATGCATCACCAACCTCAGCACGGCCAGTTGATGCATCACCAACCTCAGCACGGTCAGTTGATGCATCACCAGCCTCAGCACGGCCAGTTGATGCATCACCAACCTCAGCACGGCCAGTTGATGCATCACCAACCTCAGCACGGCCAGTTGATGCATCACCAGCCTCAGCACGGCCAGTTGATGCATCACCAACCTCAGCACGGTCAGTTGATGCATCACCAGCCTCAGCACGGCCAGTTGATGCATCACCAGCCTCAGCACGGCCAGTTGATGCATCACCAGCCTCAGCACGGCCAGTTGATGCATCACCAACCTCAACACGGCCAGTTGATGCATCACCAGCCTCAGCACGGTCAGTTGATGCATCACCAACCTCAGCACGGCCAGTTGATGCATCACCAGCCTCAGCACGGCCAGTTGATGCATCACCAACCTCAGCACGGCCAGTTGATGCATCACCAACCTCAGCACGGCCAGTTGATGCATCACCAACCTCAGCACGGTCAGTTGATGCATCACCAGCCTCAGCACGGCCAGTTGATGCATCACCAACCTCAGCACGGCCAGTTGATGCATCACCAACCTCAGCACGGCCAGTTGATGCATCACCAGCCTCAGCACGGCCAGTTGATGCATCACCAGCCTCAGCACGGCCAGTTGATGCATCACCAGCCTCAGCACGGCCAGTTGATGCATCACCAGCCTCAGCACGGCCAGTTGATGCATCACCAGCCTCAGCACGGCCAGTTGATGCATCACCAACCTCAGCACGGCCAGGTGATGCATCACCAGCCTCAGCACGGCCAGTTGATGCATCACCAGCCTCAGCACGGCCAGTTGATGCATCACCAGCCTCAGCACGGCTAGTTGATGCATCACCAGTCTCAGCACGGCCAGGTGATGCATCACCAGCCTCAGCACGGCCAGTTGATGCATCACCAACCTCAGCACGGCCAGTTGATGCATCACCAGCCTCAGCAGCGGTCTCAAGGAAGTGCTCAACTACCGTGTGAGCAGCAGCACGACCGCCTGGTGATCACACAAGGCCACCTTCCTACCCGATAACAAGGCTGTGCTGCCACTATAATCGCGAGGAGCGCACTGCTTACAACTGCTGTCCAGATATCATGTGTAACAAGTGGCACAAAAAAAGGACATTGGGAGGACGCCTATTGTCGAGGCATAAAAGGATTTGGGAAGATAAAATTCAATGTTTACAACAATCTATGACCAGGATAGAATGTGGTAAATTTTGTTTAATTAATGCAACATGATAAAACTAGCATGCACTAAAAAAAACTAACTACAAATAAAGCAAATTCTTAGCTGTGACTGGCGTCCAGCTTGACTGCCGCCAGGTCTGTTTTCTTGTAGGGTGAAGTTTTTTTTTTTATTTATTTTTACATGCAAGCATGCAAGGTAAAGACAATAAATACAATAAAATATCACAGAAAACAAAAACAAAATAAGAAGCCACCGGCCAGAAGGACCGACAGCACAAGACAACAATGAGCAACAATGGAGGAACACATGAGCAACACACCATACATCAAGACAACAACGGAGGAACACATGAGCAACACACCATACATCAAGACAACAACGGAGGAACACATGAGCAACACACCATACATCAAGACAACAACGGAGGAACACATGAGAAACACATCATACATCAAGACAACAACGGAGGAACACATGAGAAACACACCATACATCAAGACAACAACGGAGGAACACATGAGAAACACATCATACATCAAGACAACAACGGAGGAACACAGGAGAAACACACCATACATCAAGACAACAACGGAGGAACACATGAGAAACACACCATACATCAAGACAACAACGGAGGAACACATGAGAAACACACCATACATCAAGACAACAACGGAGGAACACATGAGAAACACACCATACATCAAGACAACAATGGAGGAACACATGAGAAACACACCATACATCAAGACAACAACGGAGGAACACATGAGAAACACACCATACATCAAGACAACAACGGAGGAACACATGAGAAACACACCATACATCAAGACAACAACGGAGGAACACATGAGAAACACACCATACATCAAGACAACAATGGAGGAACACAGGAGAAACACACCATACATCAAGACAACAATGGAGGAACACATGAGAAACACACCATACATCAAGACAACAACGGAGGAACACATGAGAAACACACCATACATCAAGACAACAACGGAGGAACACATGAGAAACACACCATACATCAAGACAACAACGGAGGAACACATGAGAAACACACCATACATCAAGACAACAACGGAGGAACACATGAGAAACACACCATACATCAAGACAACAACGGAGGAACACAGGAGAAACACACCATACATCAAGACAACAACGGAGGAACACAGGAGAAACACACCATACATCAAGACAACAACGGAGGAACACATGAGAAACACACCATACATCAAGACAACAACGGAGGAACACAGGAGAAACACACCATACATCAAGACAACAACGGAGGAACACATGAGAAACACACCATACATCAAGACAACAACGGAGGAACACAGGAGAAACACACCATACATCAAGACAAATTATAAAACAATAACAATAACAAACAAGCAAATAAACAAAAACTTAGGAATAATATAAAACAAAACAAACAAGCACCGGCTGGAAGGACCGACAACAAAACACATCATAATGTATAAAATGAAACATAACACAAGACAATGCACACACAAACAAATCATACATATAAACAAAAGGAAAATTAAAAATAAAACACAATACAACATGGTAATACATGGTAATACATGGTAATACATGGTAATACATGAAGAGAATACACACTCTGCAAAACACCGGCCCCTCCACAAAGGGAGAGGCGCGGACACAGAAGACAGTAGGGCAAACAAAACGCCAGAGGGGCACACAACACTACAAATAGAGAGAAAAAAAAACAGGGAATCAGCGGACATATTTGCCCCGGGAACAAGACCCGTGGGAATCGCACATTGAACGCCTCCCAACGTAACTACCCCCAAGGGTCTCGTTCACCCACCGGGGACGCCATGTCACCCGGAACCCTAGCAACAAACACCCGTAAGCAGGGGACCCAAATGGTATCACTTCTGACGCGAGTAACTGCCACAATCCCCCACATCACGGGAACACCCTCACCATGAAATTCCCCCGGCTCGTCATTCAGCAGTAACTCAGCAATTGCCGACCAGTGCCCCGGCGGCATCACCGACGCCGGCAACACGTCCCCCAGGTCCCCAATACGTACCCTCACAGGAGGGAGCCGGACATAGGACACCACCACTGGGGCACCAGCGGCCACGGGCACACCACCAGATGACTGCAGGGAACCAGGGCGGCGCGCATCCTTCCTTAATGTCACAACCAGGCCACGCCCAGCATCAGCAACCACACCATCCCTGGGAGCGGGAGCCACCACCTCCCACTGCGGAGAGTCCCCAGGCGGAGAAGGAACGGAAGTCACCCCCGAGACCCGGGCACCAGCACCAGCAAGCACATGAACCTCTGCCACCACCAACCCTGGAGACAGCGACACATCCGGTTCCACACCGACAACTCCCAAGGACCCACCAGTCACCGAATTCCCCAACATCGGCATGTGGTAAATTTTGTTTAATTAATACAACATGATAAAACTAGCACGCACTAAAAAATACTAACTACAAATACAGCAAATTCTTAGCTGTGACGCGTCCAGCTTGACTGGCGCCAGGTCTATGTTTTGTTGTAGGGTGAAGTGGAGGCCTAGGAACAAGCCGCTCTCTCAATTTCCCCGAGGAAAGTTGGCCACAATTAGAGATGATAAAAATTTGATTATAATAATAAACAATTACAGCTTAATGGTCTGGTTCACAAAATCTGCCTTGATTTTGTTATCTAAACTCTAGTCTAACTCTCTAAACAGTTATTACTAGATAACTTATCATATGATTCAGGTACTGCAACTATACAAAGTTACATTAATAGTATGATGTTAAGGAATTATTAATTAATTATTACTTATTATCATATATGAAGAAATATAACAAATTCCTTAATATTCTATTCCTTAATTTTTAATATAAAATGTAAAAAATTTAAAGTTATCTTGATCTCAAAGTAAATGTTATTGCCTGAAAACTATGCAAGAAATTAACTAATAATTTTGATAACTATTGTTAAGATTTGTTGAGATTTAGTTAGTATTGATAATATATAATATATTCAGATTATAATGGATTAAGATGACCTAATTAATAGCTACTAACGGTAAATTTGGGCATTTTATCCATGGTTTAATTATCAACAGCTGTAAATAGGATATGATTAATGTCACGGCTATCCAATTAAAATAACTCTCTGTACATTAATATGTATTCCTGTATAGCCTGGAGACTGAAGCCTGAGTCTCAACTGCAAGACTCAATAATCTTTCTTGATGTGATTGAGGCTCTATATTTTGACGTGAGGGTGATAATATTAGCGTCGCGGGGTTGAGATTAAGGAGTGGCTTGGAAGTATGATTTGTACCTAATGTTGTTAATAAATAAAGTTGAAATAAAACAGTTATTGTTTTATAACTGCATAAAACTGTAAACTCTGTAAACATCACTGACAACACCTCAGCCAACACCTCTCACTACACTTCTATGAGTTTAAAGTTTTCAGATTAAGATATTGTTCTTGATCAGAATAGTGTTCAACACTCCTACTATGTAAAGGATAGATATGAATGCTGATTATGTGATGTTTGTGCGGTGTTTGATGTTGATTTTCAGATTATAACACGATACACGTCTGCTCTGTTTGAATGTAAACAAGAGTGCCCGCGCTGGCTACCCCAGACCAACCACTTGGGCAAGTACAACTCAATCCGAACTTGCAGGCATATACCTTGCTACTGAATTTTTAAAAGGCAAAGGCAGTGGACTTATATACTGTTACTCGCAGAGTGCACTCCTGGCACTGAATGCACATAGTAGTGACACTCAGAAAATAGTCAGTGATATTCGAATGAATGTTTTAGCTGCTAAAGAAAATAGATTTGAAATTAAATTCCTATGGATACCATCACATGTTGGCATCTCAAGGCATGACACTGTTGATATGCTTGCAAAGACAGCCTGTAGAAAACCAGTAGTAGAAATTCATATGGGTGTTTCACTAGAAGGGACAAAGAGAATAATATCACCGACCTAACAAATTTACAAAGACCTGAAAGTTGCAGTATTAAATATTATGATAGATATCGTGAGGAGACATTCACATATGGGACTAATAGAACAAGAACCCGGCAATGTGATGTTATAGTGGCCAGAATACGCCTGGGATATAGACGTATCTGGCAGCTTTCTCAAAACCCAAATGTCGAGTTCACAATGTGTCAACTTTGTGAAAGAGAAAACATGTACTCACTTGAACATTATATTGTAGAATGTCTGACATATTGACTGACTTTTGCCCTCCTGGGCTAAGGTATGCTGAACTGTGTAATTACTATATGAGTACTGGAACACTTGATGATATATTGGACTTGTACCCAAGATTAACCATGTAAAGTAACTATATAACTTGAGCTTATAAAAGCACCCCTAATCACCTTCAGTGGTTAAGTTCTTAATTGCACACTAGTTTCTCTTGTCAGCTATCTCACCCTGTCAGAGTAAAAGAGACAAATATATGTGTATGTATGTGTATATATGTATGTATGTGTAATTATTACCTAAGTGTAGTTACAGGATGAGAGCTACGCTCGTGGTGTCCCGTGTGTGTGTGTATGTATGTATGTATGTATGTATGTATGTATGTATGTATGTATGTATGTATGTATGTATGTATGTATGTATGTATGTGTGTATGCATGTGTATAAAGTATAAAGCCGATCAGAATTACATTTCACCATTATAAATTCACATTAAAGCATTCAGAAATCTGTGTATCTATGTATTTAAGTACATATTTATGTATTTAAGCTTAGCCTAACATTTTAAAAGCACTACGATCACCTGTGGTTGTTCATTAAATCTCTGAACTGTATGTTTGACAAATCTCTCACCCTGTCCGTGGAGGACAGAAGAAAATTTATATATGCTAGTTAGCATTGTAAATGTGTGGCCACGTCTGTGGTAGAAAATAATAATAAAAAAAACTTGGACTGGACAGTAGAGCAACGATCTCCTTCATGCAGATCGGCGTTCAATCCCGATCTGCATGAAGTTCAAGTGTTTGGGGACCATTCCTCCACCCCCCCCCCCCAGTCCCATCCCGAATCCTTATCCCAGTGCTATATAGTCGTAATGGCTTGGCACTTCTCCTGATAATTCCCTTCCCTTCCGTGTGCCTCAGGCGTCTGCTTCAGAGAGCACCGTGTCCTGCGATTCAGATTAATTTTCTCTTATCTGGACGATTATTTTGAGATAGGATACGTTTATTTATAGGATTAAGCTAATTGTAATTTGAAGACGATTAAGTATTATTTTGATATAATTAGATTCTTCTTTATAAAGAGTATGTGACGTCACTAAGTCTACATCACTTTGCAACTACATCCTACAACCCGTCTTCAGACCAAAGTCTATTCCATCCAGCGGTTGACCCCAAAGATGCTCTCATCAATTTTAACATCCAGTTCATTCAAAACAGAAATTATCTCAAATATAAATTAATATAATTATATATTAGCATATTGTGCATATTTATGCATTGGTTACGTGTGTGGGGAAATTCTTCCAACACATAATTTGAGATATATACAAGAGTTGTTACATTTTTGTAGAGCCACTAGTACGCGTAGCGTTTCGGGCAGGTCCCTGGAATACGATCCCCGCCGCGAAGAATCGTTTTTTCATCCAAGTACACATTTTACTGTTGCGTTAAACAGAGGCTACAGTTAAGGAATTGCGCCCAGAAAATCCTCCCCGGCCAGGATACGAACCCATGACATAGCGCTCGCGGAACGCCAGGCGAGTGTCTTACCACTACACCACGGAGACTCAACTGATTATAATCTTAAATTAATTAATAAATCAAGATAAATATTAGTGTAGTGGACTGTAAAATTGTTAATGGTTAATTGGATTATTCCACTTCCACACTTTTTTGGGGGAGTAGATCTAATACTGCTAGATCTACCTAATAAAAATAATTTATTGCATAATTTCAATTATAAAATTTTATCAAGAAATAAGGGTTATGGAGTTAGTAAACTAACTACAATATTTATTTATTTATTTATATACAAGAAGGTACATTGGGTTTGTTAGAATACATAGCATGATATTAACAATCTTGTAAAGCCACTAGTACGCGCAGCGTTTCGGGCAGCATAACAAATAATGAACATCTTAGCTGCCGAGAAGATAAGAAGTGTCTGACAGTCCTCCAAAATCGGTACAATCTTGTCTCAACGTGATGGCGTCATGGACATGTGGTTCACTAGTCAAGATGACCCGCTCTCGTCGCCTCAATTCCACGATGTGAAAGGCATGAAATGTAATTTCTATTGAACTACAGTTACATTAACTAATATCCATTAAAGGAATTAACTGATTCCCGGAATTAGACTTACTAGGATTA